TTTTTTTTTTTTTTTTTTTTTTTGTGTAGCCCCATGTTGCATCTCATATATTTAAGTTGTCTTTTTAATGATTTGTGATTGCATCATGAAAATGCGTGTCTACCCTAATCCACCCATAAAAGTATAAAATGATTAAATGACATGTATGTACCTTTACTTATAGAGCAATCTCACACTTGTTTCTATGGCAGTTTGTCGTCACAGTTTGATTCTATAAGTGTGACAATGATATTGGGATTTAATTTTTTTTTTTTATTGCAAATTATAATAATCCATTTTCTGGGATTTTTTTAATATTACCTCTACTTTGCTTTCACAAGGGAATTTTTTTCAGTTCTGCTCTTGTTAAATGAGAACTTTGACAGTTGCCATTTTGATAAATGAATTATGCAACGCATCTTGGGGCTAAGCCTTCTTTATTATCTGATCTTGTCTGCAATCATGGGGCATCTTTATCTGATGGCAAGTAGAGGGAAACCCAGCAGGGCTCTTCCAGCCTCTCTTTGATTTATATGCTGAAGGAAATTTGAATCTAGCACCACATGAAAAGCCCAGGGAAGTGAGCGTGTCAAAGCTGTTTTCCTTGGCTAGAATAACGCAGGTTCTGTGTGAACGTTAAGGCCAGGCTGGATTGGTTTACCTGCAAGTCACGAGAGAAAAAAAAATGGAGAGCATTGGATCAGTTTTGCTCTGTTGGTATAAAAGGCAATTTTCAGCATTTGATTTTCATTCTGAAAGCTCCTTTGGATAGGGTGGTTCAGAAGAGTTAGGAATATTTGACAAATTGGACAAGATTACAGCATCCAGGACAATGAAGATTTTAGTGTTTTTAGAGCTGTTGTTATTCACACAGATATATGGGCAGTATTACTCTTACCGTCGCAGCTATTACAATACACAGAGCTATACGTTAAGTGGGTAAGCAAAATTAATATGGACATTTTGATGATTTTTTGGGCTTTCATTTTAAATCAAAATTTTCTCTTATATTTTGAATCATCAAATTAATTATGTTAAAAAATGTTATAAAACTTTTTTTTGCAGTTGGATTCTTTTCAAAAAAGATTTTTTTCTTCTTATTTTCAAATTATACCTTTTAAAATATGAATTATGAATTAATAACGAAAGGTGAATTATCTTATCAGCAGTGAATCAGATTTTTAAAATAACACACTAAAAATTAGAAATGGTGATAACTTGCTGTTACAACTGTCTCTGTATTTTTACAGAAGTATGACACTGTATAACAATAAACTGTATATCTACATGTAATCTACCTGTTCTTCCAGGCCCAATGTTTGTTCTGTGCAAAGGGTTGGATCAAAAAAGATATACACTGAATCAAGAACTGTGCGGTATACTTCCCAAGATATTTGTGGTCAAAGGCCGTAAGTAATCTCCTTTTTATGTGTAAGGTTAAGTAGACAAACTGTTGGGGGGCATGAAATACTCCCATTTAAACAGATGTTTGATCGCATTTTGGATATTTTTTTTCACAAAGTTTTATGATATGGATTCATTAGTTTTGGAGAGGGGAAAAAAGCAGTGAAACCTGTGAGTGCAAAAATCCATTTAAAAATTAGTTGTGACCTTGGCACTATGCAATTATATCCAGTCACCTTCTGCTACAGTTTCTATTCAATTTCAATTAATCCTTACACACACGAAGACCTTAACACGTGGCAGTGAGGAGAGATATTTAACTCACAAGGCAGGATCTCTGTAAAAGGTCTCTGTAATCAGTCTGTCTGTGTCACAAACCTGTGAATGTCGTTAAATGAGAAAAATTGTGACAACTTACGAAAAGTTTGAGGAACCATATAATTTAGAACAGTAGTTGCATGCGATGCCTCTTGATGGATTGCTTAATTGATGCACATGTGAGTGTGCATGTGTGTATGTGTGTGTGTGTGTGTTAAGGGGGTTAGTATTATAGTTTTGATTCTTGTTTAAAAATATCTGAACACATTCACTCCTTGGTCTTTTTTGTTTTGAATGAATGAAAAGTACATAATTTGCTGGATCACAACCATTCTTTTTTTTCTGCTAATATCATGTGCTGAATGGTAAGATATAAAAAAATTCTGAGGAATTAAAAAAGTATTAATGGTTTTCCCATTATAATTATTATTATAATTATTATTATTATTATTATTATTATTATTATTATTTTTATCCATAGATTTAATCTTCCTAAAAGTCTTTTGTTGAGTGTTAAAGAAGCTTTTTTTTTTTTTTTTTTTTGGTGGGGGGGGATACAAAGTTTACTTTTGTTCATTATGTGTTTCTAAAGAAATTTCATGATTTAATTTGAAATTGGTTAAAAAGTCTGCTTTAAAATAGATTGGCATCGCTACTTTGTTTAGAAAGTAGTTTTAATATATTTGAGTATAATATATAGGTAAAATGCTAACAGGCAAAATCCAGGTAAGATCACTAATTTAACTAAATATACTTTTTTTAGCCTCCTTAATTTTAAGTAAGAAAATTTTTAGGCGCCAAAAACTCAACAAACACTCCCATAAGTTGTCATACTAGAAAGTTTAAGTTGATATTAGAAATCACTGGTATGCAGCCTTGCCTTTAATGATCTTTAATAGCACAATCAACTAAGTAAGAAAACACTGAAACTTACATCTACAAACATTGTGTATATTAAACAGTGGCAGATTAATGGTCTATGGTTGCATGTCTTGGCACCATACAACCAAAATTTCCGTAACAAGTGTAACTTCACCTAATGCAATTTTTTAAGGCACACACCCTTCATGTTTTTTTAGTTGTATAGAATTTTATAGAATAAAACAGAATAAAGATGGGTGATATACCCTGAACATGTGAGTTCACTCTTGTGTAAAAGGTCCTACATTGTACCTACACTAAATAAGCATATTGATAGACACAATATCAATATTATTTATTTCATTTGGCTTTACTTTATTACTGGTATTTTGATAAACAGTGTATGAGTACTTATACTGTTGGAGTTTCATTTTTTTAATTGTTTTAATTTAAACTATAATTTTTTAAGACAAAGACTTAAATGAACATTTGAAAAAATCTCCTCATCAAGATGCATGATATCTCAATATGCATGTCGTAATACAGTGTGGATGTACCGCAGTCAGTGATAAGTATTTTACTCAAGTTTTTTAAAATCCTATTTTTTGACATGCTCACAAAGATTGCATCACATCCAAGCAACACCTACATGAAGTAAATTAAGTAATAAGACATGAAAAGAGTAGGGAGTTACCCAACGAATATAAGGTTAGAGGAACTATGCTAGAAAAATTGTTCTTGTTTAAAAGAAAATAACACCATCAGAACCATCTGTTTTAGACAGCTTTTTTCACCTCCAGAAGGTCTGAACGTAGGTATGAGGTTGAATTTTTCTTTTTGGCCATTGTTCAACACCAACAGCAAAGAACAGTTTTCTGTGTTGTTTAATTCATTGAAATAAAACCTATGCTTGCAAGGGAAAGAAATAGGTGCACTTCTTTTTCTGGGTCTCAAATTTCCTTAATTACAGCTGGCTTTGTAAAAATCTATTACAATGTATGCAAACTTGTTTTTGCTGGTAGATATGCTATATCAAAGGCATTATGATTGCAGATCATTACTGGAGCATCGTCAACAATTCTACACCAAAAGTAATGATATACCAAGCACCTGCCAAGGCAATCTGGGAATCCTTGTCTCATGTTTTTATCCAAAGTCAAATTAACTGAAGGAGGTTTCCCACTCATTGCACTATAAATTCCACTTTCAAGTACAAAATTTAATGATTAAAAAGAAAGAAAGAAACTTACTGCAATAGGTGCTTGAAATGTATATCAAGAAGGCAATCAAAGGTAAATGATAATTATATTTTTTTAATCAAAAATCAAAGGAGCAGATTGCTGGTGCCATTGTCTAAATCCATGAGAAGGGGTGGGGCAGGGGGTTGAATGAGATTTATCTAATTATTTTGCTGTTTTAAGCCTTTCATATCAATTTCTTTTAAGACCTGAATGAAATTGAAATGTTTAATATGGGGGATATGCCATATAATTTTTGGTTAGGTACAAGGCTTATTGAATAATGTTGACTCAAAAATGTGATTCCTTTGCCCTCAGTGGAACAGTTCGTGGGACATTGACTAAGAAGAAAAATGATAATTTACCTAACACCAAAACAGTTTGTTATTTGTTATCGTCCATCACTCTATTAAGTGCCATTTTCAAAGACTTAAAACTTAAAAATGTCAATTTTTGAGACTAATCTTCTTTGCAGTTGTACTTATCATATATTTTTTCTATTGAAACGAGCAGGGGGGGTTACACCATTACTGTTTTCAGTGATGTGTGGTATGCCAAACAGTGATAAGGGGAACCAAAATTAAGCTTTAAAAAGCTGAAAAAATGTCTTGATAGGACCACCAAAGGTTCTGTTATGTTTAATTTCAATGAAGTAATTGAAAGGACAACATTTAAAACTTAGCAAAAGTGCAAGGAAAATGACTGATGGCAATACGGAAGAGCTTTCTGATTTTATTGGAAATCTAGACAAGTGCTTCAATGTATGTTTGTTTTGTTTAACCATCCAAACAAATGTGGTTAACCTTGAAATTATGCACCATGTTCTGCATTCCACCAAAACCAAACTGTAATTGGAACATATTTTCACCAGAGATGGACTTTTTCGTAGTATTGCAGCATGTTTCTTTCAAATTTTCATGACTTAACGATTTGAAAATGGTTTGTTTCAAATTTGTTCACATTCATCATCCCTGTGTAAACTTTGTATTCCTCTTTGAATTGATGTTGTTGATTTTTTTCAGTGCCAGTGGGTATTTCCTTTAGACAAGCTGTGGATGTTTATTTTTTCATTTATTACAACTAAGTGGGAAATGCTTTTTGATGTCCTTAATTTAAGTGCTGCAGCTGTAATTGCGATACACTATTAACTAGGCAGTTTGTTTTGGGTCACTTGATGATGTAGTAATTAATTTCTCATTTTGATTTCCATATATATCTTTTGTAATTGATTAAGAAGTTAAGTTCACAAGAATTGAAAATTTGACAATGGCTTAATTAACCAAACAAGTACAATAGTTTATGAAAATGTTACTGCAGTTTTACCTTTCTAGAAATCCTCAGACTACTTGGACTGTCTTGGGTAAATTGCACATGCTCTTACTCTGACGTAGAGTCTAGACCCAGTAATAAGAGTGCATGTAAGGCAATGCTGGAGGGTTCCGGAAGAGACGGAAGAGACGCTGTGTTTGTATATTTGTCAGGATGTGTCCCGGGGAGGTTGCACAACATTGTTAATTGATTGATCCTGTTATAGGTTTCCTTTTCTAATTAAGTCAACTCTTCTTGTCAGTGATTAAGAAAACCAAAACAAACTAAATAAAAAAAAACAAAACAAAACAAACAAAAAAAAAAACTGGAACAAAATTGTGTGAAATTCCTACTACTTTTTGTTCTTATTTCATCAGTTCTGTATTTGTTAAATACAATTGTACAGAGATTTTATATGTACTTCAAAATGAGAAATTAATTACTACATCATCAAGTGACCCAAAAACTTGTGAAAAGTATAGAAAAGTTCTTCTTTTTGGCTTAGAAGTCAGATTTTGTCAATGTGGAGACCCCCAGTGCAGCTGTATTTTGTAAATGCAACTGAACAAGACTTGTTGGCTCAAATACTAATATAGCAAATGTTTGAAGGAAAATGTAATCAAATAGTGAATTTATTTATTTCCCTGACTTCAAAGAAGCAAATGCAAATCCAATTTCTTTTTATAAAAAAGAACTGAATTTTTGTCGTAATAACGTGCTAAAAATTTGGTAGAGTTGAAGTAATCCCAGTAATGATCAGAAGTTAGATTTAAGACAGGTGATCTTAACAGTAATTTTTGCTGCTTACCAGGCAGTATAGCTAGTAGATGGTTTTGAAAAAAAGAAACCTAACTATGTAGCTGAAATTGCTTGATGAAATGCCAGTTGACGGTAATCATGTACCTTGTTTATTGGGTAAATAACAAGTACCTGTTGCAGCATGTGATACCCACTGTATGCTTAGACATGCAACTTACTTAGCAGGCCTGTAGCCAGCAATAGCAAAGCTGTTTCTCCTGAAAAAGTCAACCCTTTTACTGTGAAATACCTGTGTTATCTTAGAAACTAGACAGAATTTTGTAACAGAGTGATTCTTTTCCCAAATGGGTGGTTCTTTCAAACCTGTCCTCCCCCCCCCCCCCCCCCTCCACCACATTCCTTCAAGACTGCTTGGGTAAGATGTCAGGTAAAAACTGGCCTAAAATTTGGGCACACGCAGAAATATCAGATGTTTTCTTTTAATTCTAATAAAATGTGCACATCAATAATAATGTGAAAATCAACTGATTAGATATCAATGTATACGAGTACTGGTACAACGTACATTTGGCGTGTATACAAATATTAGCAATTTTCATTTGATCCAAAGTTTTACTCAAATAGGTTAGCCCTCTTCAAACAGCTAGTTGAGATAAATCAGTGACAAATTAAATGTGAAATACTTTTCCCACATCTTTCAAGAAAAAAATGTTAAATTATTAGTTTGAAATATTTTTATTTTTTTTAATTTTTATAGATTTTGATTGCATTGAATAATTTATCTTATTGCTCACTGCCAGCCTTACCTTTTCTATCCTTTTATCCAATTTGTAGATAAATTTGCTTATGTTTACATATAGAAGAAAATCCATTACTAATTTCCTTTATTATGTGTCTTCAAGGGCTTACCAAAATATCTGTGTTTACTACTTGTCCAAGCAAAGTAATGTACCTTTGACATTAGCTTTATGTCATACATGTACCCAACCACATACTTTATCTTAACACAAATACACAATGTTCCATCTTTTTACATTTTCAGATACAAAGAGTATGACTGTTGTATTGGCTATGAAAAAATTCCTGGCTACCCAGGGTGCTCAAAAGGTAAACTTTGAATGAAATGTCAGTATTTGACTCTTTCTCTGTGTGTGTGTGTGTGTGTGCACGCGTGCGTGTGTGCGTGTGTGTGTGCATGTTATTCAACTTTATGTAACAGTTGGTTTGAAAATCAAAAAAGCAAATTTGCAGTTGATAGCCCTGGTATTTTGAATAAGATGTATAGATTGTAAGATGATTAATGAAGTGATGAAGAAAATAAGAATTTATTATGAATTACTTCTGTTTTCCTTGTGTACTTCAGCCACCCCCCTCAAAGACTTGATGGAAACACTTGCTGATGTTGGTGCCACAGAGTTCCTCAATGCTGCCAGGTATTCTGGCGTCCAGTACACCCTCTCTCGCACTGGACCATACACTTTATTTGCCCCAGTGAATGAGGTCTTCAACAAGACCAGTAAAGACCTCAGAAGAAGGCTAAGGACCAGTCAAGGTAGGGCATATCTGGCACCCTGTCCCAAGGATTATATTATGTGCATCAAATATTTGAAGTTTTTGGTTTAATCAGTTTCTGATCTTTTACATGTACTAATCATTGGTTTTAGACTTTGCTGCCAACTTGAAATATATGTGGGTACATGTATGATTACTCATTATATACTTATTTTACAGTCATGCATTATGCAGACAGAAGAAATTATAGCTATAGATGAAAATTTGATGAAGTAGATTATATAGATGAAGTACATTTTACAAGATTTAATGAGACATTGCACCTTTGACATGTTTTCATACAAAAAAATATAATCTATCAAATATATATTTGCTTGCATGTGACCGTAAAAAAGGATTAAAATATTGAGTTACTGTATTAAGTATATAACTTTTACATCAAAACTGTTATCAGCCTAAATTAATATTTTAATTGAAAGACAAATTGAGTAGATAATGAGAAATTTAACATTTTTCCACCCAGGTTTCCAGTACCATGTTGTAAAGAATGGGGTAGAGCTGAAAGACTTTGATGATGAACTTGAGCTTGAGACACTGGCAATTCCTGGAAAGGTGGTGGTCAACAACAAGGAAACTGGAGTGAGTGTGAGCATGTGCTGAGTGGCCAACAATCCTCCATCAGGGATTTGGAAAATATTTCTCAAACAACTAATCGGAAAAGCGCCAAATGTACAGAGCTTTTCCTGCTTTAAGTCTAATCGATAGCAATAAATACATCAAATTAAGAACAGTGAAGTGCATGTACTTTCAGTAAGACTGATACAAGGGTTGAAACATATAGCATGGTGTACATTTATGAAAATTTAAATCAGGCTCATTGGTGCATCCAGATTGGGAATGTGATTCAGTTGTAATGAATTTGAAAGGTAATGCTGATATATTTTAAGGCTTCAATTTTTATAAAGACACATGGACTGATTTTCAATTATCAAAGGATTGATTCAGTGCTGGACATTTTTATTCCATTCAGATCACCACTGTCAATTGTGCCAGGATAACTCGTCCCAACATCCCTGCAACCAATGGCATCATCCATCTTATCGACAAGATTTTAGATCGTTACCCAGAAACCATCACTAATATCATCTACCAAGACAAGCGCCTGCAGACCCTCCAAGACCTGATAGCCAGAACCAGGCTGACAGACCCACTGATGAGAAATGGTCCCTTTACCGTCTTTGCCCCCACCGTGGATGCCTTCAAGAAGATCCCATCTGAGGTCTTGACTAATATCCTCGCTAACACAGAGGCCCTGACTAGTAAGCTTATGTCTTAATTGCATGGCTAGAGAGATGGAAAAAGATTGTTTTACAAGATAGCGAATAAACATTTACTTACTGTTTTCATTTGTTTGCACTGAACTTTTTTTTCAGTTTTGACATCTATTTTCTTTTGTAAGAGTCTATAGAAGCTGAGCATATTGATTGTTTGATGTGTTTGATTATTTTAATATATGTAAGCTGTCACTGCAGAATAAAAACAAAAGCTGGACTTGCAGCCCTCATTTTTTTTTCATCTATAAAGGTTTTTTTTTCATTTTGAAGAAATAAACCTTTTACTTCCTGGAGAAAATGCTTAGAACTCAGGTAAAACTTTGAATCTGAGCAGACCTTTTCCAGCCAGAAGTGTGGTTAATTTGAACCTCCACCTGTTCCAATGGGCATGTATCCTGTAAAAGTTTAATATGGTTGAATTTTTTCTTTCCAGAAATTCTCCAGCACCATGTTGTGAAAGGTACCATCTGCTCTAACTTTATTACTCGCAAGCAGACGTTGAAAACACTGGCAGGTTCAAAACTGGAGGCAGACTGTGACCGAAGTGGCGTCACTCTTAACAAACTGAAGGCAAGAATAGTTGAACCAGATATCATAGCGTCCAATGGAGTTGTTCACATGATTGATACTGTTCTGATGCCAGTTGAAGGTAAGACTGAACAATCCTAGCTTTACCACATGTAGCAGTGTGTTTCCTTTTTTAATTTCTTTATTATTATTATTATTATTATTATTATTATTATTATTATTATTATTATAATGATGATGATGATGATGATGATGATGATGATGATGGAGGTGTACTTGCAATTTATTTTAATTTTTTTGCCATTTTTTCACTAATTACTTTAGAGTGAACATTTAACAAAATTTTTTAGATGAAAATTATTTGGTTGCAGCTAAAACCCTGCTTGATAGAGCAGAAGAACTTGGGTTGAAGACATTTGTGAAATTGCTCAAGCAAGCTGGACTGGACAAAGACTTGGCCCTGTATTCATCTGGCCCATATACACTCTTTGCACCCAGTGATTATGCTTTCAGTGGTGAGAAATGATTTTTTTTAAATCAGTAGTTTTGTTTTCATTGATTTCTACATAACCCAACAGTTTTGGTATTTTAATGACAGAAATGTGTAATTTTACCTGTATTTCAAGTCTCTACCTGTATTTTTACCTGGCAGTTAAAATTGTAGAAAGGTTAAAATGTGCTTTCTCCTTATTTTTTCAAATAAAGTTTGTCAGTGTCTATGTAAAAGCACAGTATCTCAAGTTTACAGTAGTGTGATAGAGCAAAACCAGTGATCTAGGCTTCATTCACATGCAATGTCTATTTTCTAAATTCTATTTTCTATTCGCGGTATATCTTATGATCACGGTCTGTGCCCTGAATATCCCGCGGTGTAATTACTGGCAGTGCGAGCCAGTTACTATAAGTTACTATAAGTAACTGGCTCGCGCTGCCAGTAATTTCGCCGCGGGATATTAAGGGCACAGACCATGATCATAAGACATACCGCCAGTGTTTACCTCTTAGGAAAATAAGTTGCTGGACCGAAAGCTCAGCCATCTTGAAAATTAGCTGGCTAGAATGCCTGCCGGGCGGGAAAACTTCTCTGCCCGTTCTGAAAGTTGTCTGCCCCAGGCAGACGGTCCAGCCTTAATTTCTAACACCGCATACCGCGAATAGAAAATAGAATTTAGAAAATAGACATTGCATGTGAATGAAGCCCTAGTTTCAAAATGTGGTAGAGAAGTTTGGGCTCACAATCTGTTGATTGCAACCAGTGCAACTAACACAGTGGAACTCACAATTCTTTTCCAGCAATGCGAAGAGACAGAAGTGCCAAAGTAAACTCAGATAAAGACTTTCTGAGAAATGTGCTGAATTTCCACATTGGTTTTGGTAAGATCATGTCCAATCAACTGGTGGATGACACCACGGTGGACACCAAGTTGTATCCACGGAAACTGAGGATCAATGTGTACAGAGCAGTAAGTTACAGCACATACTATTAGGACAGGTTGTCTATGTCTCTTCTCATCACCACAATTTGCAATGTGTCCCAAATTGCACAATGTTTTTTTTTTTAATATCTTCACAAGTAGAGATGGGATGGGGGATTGATATAAAATGCCCTTCCTCTGACCCTAGTTATCCTGGAACAAAACAATGTCCTCACCAGAGGGCTGATTAGAATTTGGAGATTGACTAAAACTTTTCTGTTCATGTCATATCTATGAACCGCTGAGAGTTATTTGTGATATTATAAATAAAATATTACATATGAGTTATATTGTACAGGTCATTCAGTGATGCTGTTTTACTCAATTTCCAGTTGAATTATTAGTCCATCTTTCATGTGAAAAGAGCTTATCTGAAAAGGATGAGAAGTTTTCACAATGCCTTGGGCTTTTCACAATATTGTCACAGTTTGTATTTGTCATCCTGATTTTGTGATCTTAGATTTTCACTTTCATAGTTTTCACAATAATACTCATAGAGACTTCAAGATGTCGTTTTTCTTCTTTACACATTACTTTATTACTTATCTTTGTATATGTTTGCAGATACTGGGGTATAGGTTAAAAGAGAATCTGGTACACAGTTTGTCACTTTTTAATTTTTTTTTTTTTTTTTTTTTTCTTTTTTTNTGCGAGCACTGGTACAACGTACATTTGGCGTGTATACAAATATTAGCAATTTTCATTTGATCCAAAGTTTTACTCAAATAGGTTAGCCCTCTTCAAACAGCTAGTTGAGATAAATCAGTGACAAATTAAATGTGAAATACTTTTCCCACATCTTTCAAGAAAAAAATGTTAAATTATTAGTTTGAAATATTTTTATTTTTTTTAATTTTTATAGATTTTGATTGCATTGAATAATTTATCTTATTGCTCACTGCCAGCCTTACCTTTTCTATCATTTTATCCAATTTGTAGATAAATTTGCTTATGTTTACATATAGAAGAAAATCCATTACTAATTTCCTTTATTATGTGTCTTCAAGGGCTTACCAAAATATCTGTGTTTACTACTTGTTCAAGCAAAGTAATGTACCTTTGACATTCACCTTATGTCATACATGTACCCAATCACATACTTAATCTTAACACAAATACACAATGTTCCACCTTTTTATATTTTCAGATACAAAGAGTATGACTGTTGTATTGGCTATGAAAAAATTCCTGGCTACCCAGGGTGCTCAAAAGGTAAACTTTGAAATTAAATGTCAGTATTTGCCTCTGTGTGTGTGTGTGTGTGTGTGTGTGTGTGTGTGTGCAGGGGTGGATTGAGGCCATCTTCTGGGTCTTCTTGAAGACGGTCATATTTTCAAGTTTACATTGATGGGTATCTAATTTTTTCTGTCGGAAAACAGTCAGAATTGGAGGATAGATCAACGAAGAAAATTTGGAAGACTGTCAGAATTTATCTCTGGATCCACCCCTGTCTGTGTGTGTGTGTTATTCAACTTTATGTAACAGTGGGTTTGAAAACCAAAGAAGCAAGTTTGTAGTTGATAGCCCTGGTATTTTGATTAAGATGTATAGATTGTTAGATGATTAATGAAGTGATGAAGAAAATAAGAATTGATTATGAATTACTTCTGTTTTTCTTTGTGAACTTCAGCCACCCCCCTCAAAGACTTGATGGAAACACTTGCTGATGTTGGTGCCACAGAGTTTCTCAATGCTGCCAGGTATTCTGGCGTCCAGTACACCCTCTCTCGCACTGGACCATACACTTTATTTGCCCCAGTGAATGAGGTCTTCAACAAGACCAGTAAAGACCTCAGAAGAAGGCTAAGGACCAGTCAAGGTAGGGCATATCTGGCACCTTGTCCCAAGGATTATGTGCATCAAATATTTGAAGTTTTTGGTTTAATCAGTTTCTGATCTTTTACATGTACTAATCATTGGTTTTAGACTTTGCTGCCAACTTGAAATATATGTGGGTACATGTATGATTACTCATTATATACTTATTTTACAGTCATGCATTGTGCAGACAAAAGAAATAGCTATAGATGAAAATTTGATGAAGTAGATGATATAGATGAAGTACATTTTACAAGATTTAATGAGACATTGCACCTTTGACATGTTTTCATACAAAAAAATATAATCTAACAAATATATATTTGCTTGCATGTGACCGTAAAAAAGGATTAAAATATTGAGTTACTGTATTAAGTAAAATATAATCTTTCAATATAACTTTTACATCAAAGCTGTTATCAGCCTAAATTAATATTTTAATTGAAAGACAAATTGAGTAGATAATGAGAAATTTAACATTTTTCCACCCAGGTTTCCAGTACCATGTTGTAAAGAATGGGGTAGAGCTGAAAGACTTTGATGATGAACTTGAGCTTGAGACACTGGCAATTCCTGGAAAGGTGGTGGTCAACAACAAGGAAACTGGAGTGAGTGTGAGCATGTGCTGAGTGGCCAACAATCCTCCATCAGGGATTTGGAAAATATTTCTCAAACAACTAGTCGGAAAAGCACCAAATGTACAGAGCTTTTCCTGCTTTAAGTCTAATCGATAGCAATAAATACATCAAATTAAGAACAGTGAAGTGCATGTACTTTCAGTAAGACTGATACAAGGGTTGAAACATATAGCATGGTGTACATTTATGAAAATTTAAAACAGGCTCATTGGTGCATCCAGATTGGGAATGTGATTCAGTTGTAATGAATTTGAAAGGTAATGCTGATATATTTTAAGGCTTCAATTTTTATAAAGACACATGGACTGATTTTCAATTATCAAAGGATTGATCCAGTGCTGGACATTTTTATTCCATTCAGATCACCACTGTCAATTGTGCCAGGATAACTCGTCCCAACATCCCTGCAACCAATGGCATCATCCATCTTATCGACAAGATTTTAGATCGTTACCCAGAAACCATCACTAATATCATCTACCAAGACAAGCGCCTGCAGACCCTCCAAGACCTGATTGCCAGAACCAGGCTGACAGATCCCCTGATGAGAAATGGCCCCTTTACTGTCTTTGCCCCCACCGTGGATGCCTTCAAGAAGATCCCCTCTGAGGTCCTGACTAATATCCTCGCTAACACAGAAGCACTGACAAGTAAGGTCTTGGCTAGAGAAGAGATGGAAACAGAGTGTTTTACAAGATAGCAAATAAACATTTACTTACTGTTTTCATTTGTTTGCTATGAACTTTTTTTTCAGTTTTGACATCTATGTTCTTTTGTAAGAGCCTATAGAAGCTGAGCATATTGATTGTTTGATGTGTTTGATTGTTTTAATATATGTAAGCTGTCACTGCAGAATAAAAACAAAAGCTGGACTTGTAGCCCTCATTTTTTTTTTTTTTTTTCATCTATAAAGGTTTTTTTTTTTTCATTTTGAAGAAATAAACCTTTTTACCGGCTGGAGAAAAGGCTTAGAACTCTGGTAAAACTTTGAATCTGAGCAGACCTTTTCCAGCCAGAAGTGTGGCTAATTTGAACCTCCGCCTGTTCCTATGGGCCTGTATCCTGTAAAAGTTTAATATGGTTGAATTTTTTCTTTCCAGAAATTCTCCAGCACCATGTTGTGAAAGGTACCATCTGCTCTAACTTTATTACTCGCAAGCAGACGTTGAAAACACTGGCAGGTTCAAAACTGGAGGCAGACTGTGACCGGAGTGGCGTCACTCTTAACAAACTGAAGGCAAGAATAGTAGAACCAGATATCATAGCATCTAATGGAGTTGTTCACATGATTGACACTGTTCTGATGCCAGTTGAAGGTAAGACTGAACAATCCTAGCTTTACCACATATGTAACAGTATGTCTGCTTTTAAAATTTCTTCATTATTATTATTATTATTATTATTGAAGTCTTCTTGCAATATGTTTTAATTCTTTGCAATTTCTTTTCTCTTCACTTTAAAATGAACATTTTTAAATGTTAAAATTTGTATATATCTTTAAGATGACAAATTCTTGAGAAGAAAATCATTTGGTTGCAGCTAAAACCCTGCTTGATAGAGCAGAAGAACTTGGGCTGAAGACGTTTGTGAAATTGCTCAAGGAAGCTGGACTGGACAAAGACTTGGCCCTGTATTCATCTGGCCCATATACACTCTTTGCACCCAGTGATTACGCTTTCAGTGGTGAGAAATGATTTTTTTAAATCAGTAGTTTTGTTTTCATTGATTTCTACAAACCCAACAGTTTTGGTATTTTAATGACAGAAATGTGTAATTTTACCTGTATTTCAAGTCTCTGCCTGTATTTTTACCTGGCAATTAAAATTGTAACATGTAAAGAGGGTAAAAGTTGCTTTCTGCTGATATTTTCAAATAAAGTTTGTCAATGTTAGAAACTATGTAAAAGCACAGTATCTAAAGTTTACAGTAGTGTGATAGAGCAAAATCAGTGATCTAGTCTCAAAATGTGGTAGAGAAGTTTGGGGCTCACAATCTGTTGATTGCAACCAGTACAACTAACACAGTGGAACTCACAATTCTTTTCCAGCAATGCGAAGAGACAGAAGTGCCAAAGTAAACTCAGATAAAGACTTTCTGAGAAATGTGCTGAATTTCCACATTGGTTTTGGTAAGATCATGTCCAATCAACTGGTGGATGACACCACGGTGGACACCAAGTTGTATCCACGGAAACTGAGGATCAACGTGTACAGAGCAGTAAGTTAATTACAGTACATACTGTTAGATACTAGGACAGGTTATCTAGGTCTTGTCTCATCACCACAATTTGCAATGTGTCCCAAATTGCACAATGTTTTTTTTTTTTTTAATATCTTCACAAGTAGAGATGGGATGGGGGATTGGTATAAAATGTCCTTCTCCTGACCCAAATTATCCTGGAACAAAACATTATTCTCACCAGAGGGCTGATTAGAATTTGGAAATTGACTAAAACTTTTCTGTTCATGTCATATCCATGAACCGATAAGAGTTATTTGTGATATTATAAATAAAATATTACATATGAGTTATATTGTATAGGTCATTCAGTGATGCTGTTTTACTCAATTTCCAGTTGAATTATTAGTCCATCTTTCGTGTGAAAAGAGCTTATCTGAAAAGGATGAAAAGTTTTCACAATGCCTTGGGCTTTTCACAATATTGTCACAGTTTGTATTTGTCATCCTGATTTTGTGATCTTAATTTTTCACTTTCATAATAATACTCATAGAGACTTCAAGATGTCGTTTTTCTTCTTTACACATTACTTTATTACTTATCTTTGTATATGTTTGCAGATACTGGGGTATAGGTTAAAAGAGAATCTGGTACACAGTTTGTCACTTTTTCATTTTTTTTATTGCATTTTCTGTTTCCTTCATCAGAAATATTTCATCATCTTTATAATAAATTATCCATCTTTTCAACATTTTCAAGTAATTTCTTGATTTATTATGAAATAGAAAATTGTAGGGATTTAAGTGGTTTGTTTTGCATGTGCTAACCACTTTTATACATGTTTTATTTTGCACATTAACTAATATAAATATTTGTATGTGTGTACACCTAATTATTATTTTCTCCTGTTATACTGTTAACCATCTTTTTATTTACTTAAACACCTAAAGGCTCTGCTTTCTTATAAGAACATCAAATGATCAGTTCAGGCCACTNCATCAAATGATCAGTTCAGGCTACTTAACACTTTTGGTTGAATTTTTACTTCTTTAAGTCATTAACAATTCAGAGTAATTTGTATAATTTACAGATGTTTAACAACAGCTTTGCTTAGTATTATGCTTGTAACCCTAGCAACCCAGTATAGAGGCTTCCAGTATTGAAAAGGGAGACTTTGAGGCAGCCAATGGGGTTATCCACATAATTGACCGTGTGATATTCCCTCCAGAACAAACTCTGGACGAGATCATGACTGAAGATGAGTGTTTGAGGTACGGTCACACGAGGAATGAATTGCACATCTCAAAATGTCACTGAAACCCTGCAGTAATTTTACACAAAATTTCAAACAGGATTGATGTATGACATTCTCTAATTTTTTTTTTTTTTTTTTTTTTTTTTTTTTTTTTGTGCAAAATCTTGAAAATATTACATGATTAATGAAAAGTTTTGGAAGTCAAGTTGTATTCCTATCAGGAAGTATGCTTTTGTTATTAGAATAAAATCATATGTTTTGGGGAAATTAATGAATTGTAAGAAACTGATGTGTTTGACATTGTCAATCTTTTTTTTTTTTTTTTTAATATCTGGCAAAGATTATTAAACTGTTGAAATAGTCATGCTGGCTTCTTACATGAATCAGGAAGTATGTTTTTGTCAGGAAAACAAACAATAAATCTTGGGAACATGATGTATTGCAAAAAGTTGGTGTTTTTGAAATTTTTGATTAATTGCTGCAATGACTATGTGCTCACAGTCTCGTAAATTAAATGTGTTTTTGTGAGGAACCTGTCTGAATATTTCCTTGTTCTCACAGTGAATGGCAACAAAAACTCACCAGAAACTGCATGAGTTGCTTTTAACAATTATGAACTACTATTTGGTCATTTCAGTTTAAAAAGAAGTATTTTAACTTAAATGGTTTTGTAACTCAGATGCATATTGATTTCATTACTGCTTCGGAGAAAGACTGAAATGTTAAATTATGCATGGCTATATGTATTTTTGTAAAGCAGTTTTCACTGTAGTCACTCTTAGCAATTTGCCAGATCATTTTACATGATTAATTCACTTGCACAAATATCTTATTTATGAACTCAGCCACAGGTTGCAGATTGAACATCTTTAAATAACAACAAGAAATGACATTTTTCTCATGATCATCCATAAATGCATGATTGTAGGTGTCTTTTTGTTAAGCACGAAGCTGAAAGATATTCACAAATATTGGCCTTTACTCAGAGGTGCATGGAATGAAATTATTCTCCCAGGAAAATTGTGAGAAGCTTGTCAAGATTTTCCCTATTCTATACTCTATAGGCTTTGGTTGTAGAGATTTTTGCCTTGTTCTTCGTATACAGTGTGGCAGTGGGGATTTTGCCCCATTCTATGGGATGTGACAACAGAGCTAGATTTTGCCACATTCTATAGAACGTGGTTATGAATATTTGGCTTCATTCTTCATTCTTGCATTTGTAGACATAAAACCTTATTCTGTAGGGTGTGGTTGTAGAGGGTTCTTGCATGATCAAACAGGATAAAGAGGCTGGGAATGGTGTTATCCATGTCATAAACCATGTGTTGTTTCCTCCAATGGAAACACTGGCTGAAATTATCAGTAAAGATTATGAAATGAGGTAAGCCAATGAGTGCGTTCTCAATAAAACTATCGTAATAGGTAGTTGGAACTAACTTCCCATGGACTCTTGCTGAATGCAGCCAGATTAACAGATGAACACACCTCCTGGCATTGAGTAGATTAGAGCTGGTGATTATACAAGTATGTTGAAAACAAGAGGAGGCGTGCTAATCTGTTAATCTTGCGTTCAACAAAAGTCTCCACAGAGTTTGTTTGAACTACCTTGAACTCATCCAATGTAAATGATAAAAATAAAACATACAATCTGTATTCAAACTTGATTCACATCACAATAGTTAGAAGATGTGCATGCATGCAAATGTTCACATCACAGTATGTGTAATTTAAGTCACTCTTTTACTTCTATAGTTCACTTGTCACAGCAGATAAGATAGACGAATCACATGTACTGTGTGTTCACATGTGTGTGTGTGTGTGTGTGTGTGTGTGTATCTTATTCTTCTACAGATTTAATTCCAATGAACATCTTCGTCAACTTTACTATATCTATTCAATGTTCCTATCTCAGACCGTTTGAAGAGGCACTGAAGAAGGAGGGTCTTGCAGCTCAGCTCAGCCAGTCTGGTTCTTACACCGTGTTTGTTCCTACCCGCGCCGCGGTGAGGAGGGTGAAGAGAAGGCTGGACAATATGAGCCATGACCAGCTGAAGAAGGTCACTTTGATTTCTTAATTAATTCATCTTTAAATTATATATTTAGTCTACTTTTAAATTTAAATATTGACAGAATTATAAGTAAAATGTTCTTATCAGTCCGCCAATTATAAAATTATAAATTGAAATTAAAAACAAGAAAATTGTGTAAAAAGTGAAGCTTTTGAGGAGAGAAATGATGCAAAACTATACGTGTAATTTATAATATTTTCAATTTGATAAATGATTACGTTAAAGCTATTATAGTATTTGTGTGTTGTTTGTTAAATGGAGGATTGGCCATGCATTTAGGCATTATATGCTGTTTGTTAACTTTGTTACAGATCTTGAAGAACCACATTCTGGAAGGCGTGTACACCAGTTGTGCGTTCCAGGAAGGAACCATTCTGCCACTGAAGAACCAAAACGGCAAAGAGCTCTCATGTAGTAAAAGTAGGGGGCGCATGCTGCTGTCAAGACGCGCAAGAGTGAGTCGTACAAACATCATGGCAACAAACGGAGTTCTCCATGTTGTTGATGAGGTTCTTGAACATTAAAAACAGATCTTGAACAACATGAGTGTTACTTTGTATCTCACATTATGAACTTATTGATGACTTTTGCAGTGGTTTACATGAAAAACACTTATCATTAAATAGATAATTTATCTTATTTGAAATTCTGAGGATGAGACGATGCTGCAGTAAGAGCAGGTGCTCTATATTATTTCATGATATTATTTCATGAGTTATCTGAGGGCTTCTGTATGGTATATCAGCATCCAAGGGACTTCAGTCACTTATTAATGGTCCCATTTGCGCAAAGGGACATCTGAAGGTCCTGTAATGATTTCTCGGTCAATATGTGTACATATAATTTATCATTTATTGAGATTAAGAACTCTATTCTGATTTGTTAAACCCTATTTTTAGTATTTTTCTGTGCTTGTACTCTGGCTTTCAGTAATTATTGCCTCGTTGATGTCCTGTGTAAGACCTAAAATATTGCCTCTTTCTCTTCATTTTAAAGTAAATAAATTCATAAAATTCATTAATATATACTTGTTTATAGGATACAGGTTTACTAGTATTTCTGTACTACAGTACCTTTATTCAGCCACATCTCATTAGGCCAATGTATTAGACAATATATTTTACTGTACTCTTTGTCTTTTACACTCTGTAATTTTCTGTTAGACAAGATAAAGATACCTCTGTCCCTTGAAAAGTATCAGAAATAAATCCTTATTTTTAAATCAAATATATGTAATATGAGTAATTTGAAAATCTGCTTATGATTGTCATGTGTGAAGTTTGCCAATAAAACAAGCCTATTTTACATCAATGATTTTATTTGTGTTCATGTAGTTTTTTTAAAACATGAATTATTTAACACTGAATTGTGAAATAACTTACCTATAATGCATTCTTTGTAAAATCACTCTACTCCATATTTGGCATTTATTTACAAAACAAAATCTTCTAAATGATCTCCTCAGCTACAGATTTTGAAAGCAGAACCTAGATATCTGGCACAAATTATTTAGTGACATTTTTTACAACCTGAAGTTTGTTATCCTGTGGCATTATGGTCTCTTTACATGTTTTAAAAGCATTACTTTGATTATTGCCAGAGTTGTTATGAAAAGGCTGGCTGTGGTTATAAGAAAAAGGTGAATCTCGCTTCTTTTTTATGCATTTAGTGGAAATAATATCCATGATTGAACTGCTTTGGCTATTGCCCAACTGATGCATCTTTTCACAATCTTCCCAGCATCTTGCTGGAGTTCAAACTGATTTTAGTGTGTCTTGCATCTCCTCTGTTGCAACTAAAAAAATTGCTATGCCAGCACCTTTGCAGTAACTAAAGCTTACACAAAATCTTCAAAGCTTAAAAAAAGCTGTTTTGATAAAACCTCTAGTGATTGAGAATTTCTAAGATGTTCAGAGTTCAATGGCAAAAGCAAGTTAATTTTTGACTTTGAAGAGGTGGACTTACACTTGGTACCTACATGTGCTTCGATCAGTATATATATGCACTTCTTTACATGCGGCAAATACAATTGTACACTTTGGTGTAAGGTAAGAAAATAAAATAAAGTTTATCAATTGTGTGTGGATATAAAGTAAACATTGAAAGCTCTATGTATACATGTACATAAAAAAGTAAAGTTCACTTATACTTTTGAATACTTCAGTATAATTATGATCATAATTGCGCTTCCTCTGGAATGTTGGAGTGTGACTTGTAAGATATATGTGTACTTCTAAAGATGTCCAACTAATGAACCCAGAACAGTTTCTTTTCAGCATATGCCTGCCATAAATTTCATCCACTGACTGTCTGAGGATAAAGGCAGCTAGAATGACTGTTTGTTTTGCACATACAAGTTCAGTAATTCTTTTTTGAGTCTTGCATAAAGCATAAAATACATATGGAAGCACTTATATTGGAATGGATGATTGACAACCAAGTATGTGAGCTTTTTTAATCATCAAAATATTTTAAATCAAATTGATTTGTTGAGAATTGTATGTCTTTGATTACAGTTTCTGCAATTAAATCTAATATGGATAGGTTTTATTAGACTTTTATTATCCTTGAAATTGAAATGAAACTTGTTTTTGTAAGATTTGAAGAAATTAATGATATTTTTAGTGGAGAAGCACATGGTAGGACGCAGATGGCTGAATCTGGAAAATACAGGCACTTGGCACTCTTGACAGGGACTTCTAGAACACAGCACCAATGGCTCTTCAATTACCAAACAGAACTGGTGCCAAACAAGACAGCTGACCCTTTGTGATGACTTGAAAGTGGAAAGACATTTCACAATTTCAAATTTCGGATTTGGTGAAAACGCCCTGCCCACCCACAATGTGATTTAGCCTTTGCAAATTGAAAATGGATCATATAATTACAGTGGTTCTGTCTGCCTCTGCCTCTCCCAAAAAGATGTGGGAACCTCCTGTTTATACCCACATTTGAGGTCTTCAATGTTTTCTATGAAGGGTACCCCATTAAAGCAAGTTTCTTTTTTGTATTCTAAATAAGTACATCATCTTGCAGCAGTTAGTAATTAACAAATACATTTTTAGACTTTCTGTTGTAAGATATTTTTTCATAAACTTGATGAAAAATTAGCGCTTTATGCTGCACTGAATTTTTTTTTTAATTTTTCCATTAACAGTGGGACCTCTGTGCAAGGCGGTAGGAACCTCAACTAGAAAATTTTACAGATTTCATGTCAGTAAATTAGAAGGATCCAAATAAGAAGTGGAAGAGGGACTTGCGGAGGGCATTTGTGTGTCTGGGCAGGCTGGCTGCATTCACCTGGGGTATGTGCTAACCACAGCACTTGAAGTGAGTAGACAACCTTGTTATTTGGTTTAGTCTGGTAGTTAGATTGAGGAAAGCACTTCGTGTGTGCAGGAAGATGTAGAAAAATAATAGGCAAACAAAAAACTGTTCTGACATCTCCTTTTCTAAAAAATCTTATCTAATTTAGCAATTTTTGCTGAATTTTATCCTATGTTGGCATATACTGCTATATGTACTGGTATCATAACCTGTCTGAAATCATAATTACATGGGGAGATATTTTTTTCTGTTTCAGTTGAAATTTGATTGCTTATGTAAAATGTAACTGAAAAAGTTTATTGTCAAATTATCTTTACTACAGTTGTCACAGCTTTTATAGCATTTTGCACATATTTCAACACTGTTCATGCATCAAACCTGATAAGTGCGTAACAATATTTCTGTACATGTCTTTTAAGATGCTACAAAATTGCCACTGCCTGGTAATTTTTCATTAGATTGGCTTTCCAAAGTTTTTTGCTTTGCATTTTTTCTACATGTCCAGCCCATCAAAAAGTTCACACTTGATGGGGTTATGTCCTTAGTGCATTGTATACCTGTATACTGATATAACATTTGGAACTTCAGAGCTAGATCATAAATGTTGGCCTTTTTACATGCACCACAGTCAAATAACATAAAATTTCTGTTCGTACCATTTGGAGACATGTTTTAGAGGTCAGGATTTTAAATCTACATCTTAAGAAACTACAGTACAAACAATTTTTTGGTTCAGTTAACCATGTTGTTTGTTTGTTTGTTAATCTAGTGAAAAATTGCCAATGGCTTGTGTACATGTACATTTGTATTGCTTTCAACGTCAGCTTTCTCCACTCTGTCAGACTTTCCATCAGTGGTTGTTTTGACTGAGGAATCTTCTTCCAGGTGCTTTCAGCAGCATATCCATTTCTGGTAAAACTAATTAAACTCTGGATCACTTGGTCAAGTTGGTGGGGCAGATTAGCTATTATATGATGTATGTCTGAGAATCGGATGTAATTAGTCCTTAGGCAGACATATGAACCGATCTTTTAACATAAACTAAGGAATATGCTATAATTATGCAAACAGACGTAAAATATTTTTCTCTCAAAACCTTATTTTTCATAAAACTAAAATATGTTATTCAAAAGTTTTCATTTATGAGAGAAGGAATATTTTGTAAGATTTTAGAAAGTTAAATCTTTTTTTAAGTTAGACTAAGTAAAGAATCTAGATTATTTGTGAGTAGTTAGTGTACCAATTTCTATGCTTCGTGGTCTTGTACACATGCAGACAGCCATTAACCTATATGATGTGGTTCAGTGGGTTTCTTGCACCTGTACTTGTGGCAACATTGAACACGCTGTTAATTAATTGAGCTTAGACTGGGAGCATCTCGATAGTCCGAAGGTTCATTGGTCTGAAAAATAGTAGCATTTTCATCAGTTTTTTTAATCAAGAGTTTGTTGGTCCTAAGGTTCTATCGTGAACATTCGGACCAATGGACCTTCGGACTTGTGAACCTTCGGACTATTGCTGCAAGCCCCTCTTAGACTATCACACGTACCCCCATTGGTTCACTGGAAGTCCAGTGTCTGTCAATATTTGCTCCACCACCTTGAATTGATCAGCTTGGAAAAGAGGTGGACAACATTGGCCCCATTCAGAACATAGGACTCACTTGTCCGAGGGTCAAATATGGCGACCAACTACAAAGCTTGCGGTCTAATCCGCTAATAGACACTGAATAGATATCCTGTGGGGAAGTATTCAAGTGGGTTGGCCATTTTTAATCCTCAAATTAGTTAGTCCCTTATTCTGAATTGGGCCATTGATGCTGTTCATATCTATGGCATATAGATGTTACTATTACACTTTATTATTCTGTAGAAGCAGATAATTGTGTGGTACAACATACCTTCAACTTACAGTTTAAAGAACAGAGATAACCCAGCAGACAAACGACATTGATTCACCATTGAATCAACATTAATTTTGGTGGATCAACGTTGAATCAACATAGAATCAATGTCGTTTGCCTGCAGGGAATGAACTTGTTCTGAAACACAAGTTTTATTACAGTAGCCTTCTGTGAGTATTTAGTAACTGTGAACAGCATTATAGCCATTAAATGTTTTGCCACACTGATACCAATGGTGTGTATATTGTGTAATTCAATCTAGTCATTCTACATGTATCTCCAGGTCTGCTCACACATTTTCTTTTCTGAAAAACATTTAAAAGAATTTTATGTGGGCAAAGTTTTCCAAACTAAAACAGGATACATAAAAACAAAATGAAAGCTTTATCTTTGATCTTCATTTACATAAATGACAGACAAAACAAGGCAGTGAAAAAGGAAAGTTTGTTTGTTTGTTGGGTTATATAATAAAAGGGGGCCTTGTTTAGCCAAATCGTGAACATCCAATACTCAACTGTGTTGCCTGTTTTCTTGATATGAATAGGACCATGATGAATTGGACGGAGGAAACATAAAGTAAATATGAGATCAGGGGCGGATCCAGAGATATTTTCTGACATTCTTCCAAATTATCTTTGTTACCATCCTCCATTTTTGACCGTCTTCCGACAGAAAAAAATAGATACCTGTCAATGTAAACTTGAAAATCTGACCGTCTTCCAGAAGACCCAGAAGACGGCCTAAATCCGCCCCTGTATGAGATGACCATATACCTTTTTGGTATATAAGAACCTGTCTCCTAGCTAGGGGAATTAAGAGGAATTCAACCTATTAGTAAAACCTCAGGTTTTCTAGGTCTGTGATAATTTTCTCATCAACTTTAAACCATGGCTGTCAAATGTGCTACTGGGACTTGTCAAAATGAATTGGCCAGGATCAGCAATGAATATGTGTCTAGTATTTGTGATAATAAGAGATGAGAGATGGTTTGTGCAATGATGAGTTTCACAATCTTGGGTGTTGGGTTGACAAAATATGAGTAAACTGACATTACCACCAAGTGGTTTGTTTATGTCCGCTGTCAAATATAGTGAAAAAACATATTGGCTGCACAGATGAAAAAGAACTTAATAGAAAGTTCAGTGGGCTTTATCAAATATCTAACAAAAATATGCAAGGTCTGTGTGAAATGTGTGGTAGCTAAATTTAATTAATTTTAACATCAATGATAAATTCTCTGAATACTCAACTGTACAGCTTAAGAGTTAGTGACACAAATAGGAATCTCATCTGTAAATAATGATTTTTTTCCATTCTGGCAGATCTAGATATTATTTCATATCTATGTACCTTTTTATCATCAATGAACACTATAATTGATGCATATGTCTGATGACTGCCGGTCCATGCCATTGCCTGATCTTGTATGTTGCACAACATTTCTTGTTTATCTTTTAACTTCCAAGCTGTATTTTTGTGTTACTTCATATATACTGGGTGGATTTGTTTGGTAAAAGTGCGGGCTGAGTTTGAAATCAAAATCAGCATGATTGGATTATTTTTATGTCATTGAGGAAGTTTTTGTTTTTATGCATGTAGTTTTGCTAGGTGTGCCCCATTGGCGCAAAACCATAGTTTTGTTTTACTCAGGAGATTTGTTGGATAAAACTGCAGTGTGAGTTTTAAAACCAGCATGATCAGGTTATTTTTACGAACGATATATTGAATTTTTGTGCTTTTTTGCGTATATATTTGAGACGAACACGCCATTAGCACTAAACTGTATATTTGTTATACTTCAAACGTACTAAGGAGCTTAACTGATAATGAGGCAGTTTGATTTAGAAAGTCAGCAGGAACAGTTAATCATTAGGGAAGTGCTTGATTTTTTTTTTTTTTTTTTTCGATTTTCACCTGCATTTGGATATCTGGGACTTAAACCCCATAGCTTTCAAATTTAATTTTAGTTTACATTTACTAAGGAGTATTATTTGGTCAAAAGGCAGATAAAGTTTGAAAATCAGCTTTCCTGAAAGTTATTTGTTGTATTTTGCAATCTTCTACTTCAGTCTCTTCTCTGACACAATCAATTCTGATAAAATCAAAGGGATGTTTTCTTTAACCTTATAAATTAGGCTACGAGTTATTTCTTAAAATACAAAATGAATGCAAATCACTTGTCACCTCACATAATATGTAGAAATCTGTGTGTTCATCTCATAAAAGCCTATGCTTAGCTGGTGGTGCATACTCAGAAGGCAGTGACCCCTCTCTAATGCCTCTTCTCTTTATCGTAGATATTTGTTTAAATGAAAAATAACATGAAAGCACAAGTTCCAATATAATTTTGAGGGTCCATTGCTCTTTAGTTTAATGTACAAGACAAAATGTGAGGTAAACTTTATTTTATGAAATACAAGTAAATAACTCCTCGTACATGCATGGATGTGATTTTTATTTGAATATCTGCATATTTCTGACTTTTTGGGAGCCAAACATATCATTGGCCTGCATTCCCCCTGGACCCCGTGCCATATTTTTGGACTCTTTCACTGAATGGCAATCTCATCCCTGTACATACCTTTTCTGGAACCCTAAAGACACCAGAGCTTGGACCTGTGAGGGCAAATTAAAGTGTTACAGTAAAGCACACATACCAGTCACACAATATTTATCTCTTGCCATTTCCTCAAATGAAACGTAACATAAATATTTAGTTAATACATTAGAAATTCTTCAGATAATGCTACCGAAATCTGTTGCGAACGCTATTGATCTGACAAACCTGATGCAACTCGTAGCATGTGGGAGTTTATACAAAGAAAGGCTTGTGAACACTAGAGATTGGTATACAGTATTTTTGAACCACTTCTTTTAGTGTTTTAATGGATGCAGGTAAAAGCATACCATTCAAAATCGTCTTCTGCAGAGTTTCTATGTGGAAATGGTGTATGGAAATGGGATTTATGGCCCTTAGCAAATTATCAGGCCTGCTGCAAACTTTGCGCAATTTTGTCCCAAATTTGCTGTTAATTTGCAAAAGATATTTTATGTCCTGGCAAAGCAAATTTTCCGTGCAAACTCCTACAAACTCCTTGTTGAAAACTTTTCATTTTGCTAAGGGAGGGGTTCATATTTGAACTAATAATTAATCTTTCCGAGATTCCAGAAGCCTCACCTTTTTTACATACTGTAACATTTATATTTGCCTGGACTAATGGGGCATTGAGAATCCAATCATCAACTTTTTCAACCAGAGGAAATGGACCTTGACAGAAGTTATTTAAGGTCAGCAATATACATGTAAGATTGAAGATTTTAGACAGTTGCACTCAAAGAACTGGTACAAAATTATGTAGTTCTCTGTCAGGCTGGACCTTTTGTTCCATTGCTTTGTTTTTCTGGCATGAAAATAAAATTAAAGTCGTCATTATAGTCATAATGACTTAAGTCTGGTTTTTCTTTGATGTACATATAAGGGCGTATTCCCAGAGCTTTTAGATCGATCTATCCCCGCGGGGAGTCTCACTAGATTACTGTCAGATAATCCGGCTTAAATGTCCGTCCCGCCTACTACAAGCTGTAAGGGGGTAATTAACTTTCATGCCCGCTCGGCTGACAGCTATTTAGCGTGAACCCCCAGGGAGTTAGGTCGATCTAAAGTAGATCGATCTAATCTCTGGGAATGGGGTCTAAGACCACTGGATACACTTGTTGTGGCAACTGACTTTAGGTAATTCATTGTTTGTTCATGTATATGTTTGCTTACAAGTGTATGTGCACATTAATGATTTGTAAAATTTGTAGGAAAAACAAATTTTGTTATTCTGTATCTAACCTCGGAAATGAAAAACTGTCTTCTTGCTAACTTTAATTATTTAGGTATGGTGCATTATCTTTCAAAAATATTCTCAAAACCACTGCTGGATCTGTATCTCTTCTTAAATTCATTATGTGATCGGTTTTGTCCCAAACTGTTCTAACATGTGAGAAAAAAAAATGCCTGCTTTCTTAAAGTGTAGTTTTTCTCTTATCAGACAGACAGACTGACAAATAAATGGAACTGATCACTTCAGCCCTGCCAGGGCCAGGTAAAAATGTCAAAGTATTACGACAAAGGTTTATCCCATTAAGATGGGGATCAAAATTATCATGACATTTAACAAATGATAAATTGTTTATCCAAATTCAGACCCATAATTACCCATGCTCCTCTCTGCTTTCTACATTCAACATCGACTGAGAGGCACCTTGCTTATTTAGGAGCAGCATCATGATTTATGAGCAGGATTTTTATGTTCTTTACACCTTTTGGGATGTGTCTTATTTGGTTATTTGGTACCATAGCCATTAAGCAGTTACCACTGTCTGTATGGGTATCTCTTTTTGCAATTGTTTCAGAGATGGAGAATGACTCATTTTTATATTTTTGAAAGAATATGCATGGTACAAGACAAATAAAAGAGTTTTTTAAGTTACTTACTGGTTTGTATGAGCTCAGAACACTAAACAAATTGTCTAGGTGCTGGAATTGATAGGGAAGCCATCAGGTAAAGTCTTAGCATACTGTAAATTGTTTTGGCTTTGATTTTGTAGTGCCATTGATTTAGTGTGTGTGTGTGTGTGTGTGTGTGTGTGTGTGTGTGCACACATTTCACTCTGAGGATGCCTTGGAATGGCTGTCTTAAGCTTGTGATTATATTTCAACAAGTTTAAATGGAAAATGTCAGTTTGCTTATTGACATATGTAAAACATTTTGCATTTCATTTTTTTTTTTTTTTTTTT